GGTTAAATATGTATAAAAACTTTTTTTTTTTTTTTTTTTTTTTTTTTAAAAAAATTTAACGTGATTTTAACAATATCCAAGCCAAAAAATTCTACCGCAGAAACACCATTATTTTTATCATAGTAAATGAATTTGAAAATTTATCTCAATAAAATATAAATTAGGAGGGAGAGAGAGAGGGAGAGAAATTGATCGTGAACGGAATAGAAAATTTCCCGCGACGAGCTCATCATTTTCAGAGAAACCGAACGCGAGAAATCGCCAAAGAGCCAAAGACTCTGTTTTCACTTGATACTCTCGTTCCTACTCTTTCAACTTCCTCGGTATTATTCCTTCCTTTTTTCTCTTGAAATCTCTGAATCTTTTATAATGCTTTCAATATCTGCGATATTCTTAATCAATTTCGAATCCCGAGATTCAGTAATAGTTGAGATATTGGTTGGATCTTTGACCCAATTTTTTATTTTATTTTTTCCCCTTTTCTTCTTTCCTTTTCGTTCAGAGCTTCTTTAAACTCTCCAAGGTGATTTCTTTTCAAACAATATTTAATTTTCCATGATTGTTATGTGCATTGGCTGAATTTTCGTTGTTCTTTGTGGGTTTTCATCCTTTTTAAGTTCCTATTTGGTTTTTTTGTTTGTAAATTCTATAATTCTTTCAATATTTGTGAAATACCTTGAGAATTCTCTACTCATTCATTGTAGTAACCGTGAAAGGTTGATTGATTTCGTTAACCTAATTCCTCTTTATTTTCCCCCCTTTTGTTCAGACTTTCCCAATATATGTAATTCTTTTTCTTGTCATTTAATGTGTATATTTATGTGCTTTTGGCTGAATGATCCTTGTGCTTCTGCAATATTTTCTTGAAAATTTGAGTATATGATATATTGGGAATGAGTTGAATTAGTGTTTTTTTTTAAACAACTTTTGGATCGAATTTTAATTAGTTTCCCATTTCTATATTTTCTCTTTTGTTGTTTCCTATTTTTGAAGTTGCCGGATTTTGTTTGTACTTCTGATTCTCGATTTGAGACAGTTTAGCTTATAAATAGACGAGTCTAACAATGTGGAAAAGAATTTTCAGGAGAAGTGCAGAATCAAAATGTCTGTACATCAAGTTTTTGCTGAAAATAAGTTTTCTGATTAAGTTAATTCTTGGTCTAGAAAGTTTGACTACAAATGGATTTGGCGGATGAAACCTTGAGGGAACAGTTCTCGGCTCTAGAGCGAGTTATGGCTATGTCAAGACGTTTTAATAGGGATAATCTTCCATCAAAAATTGAAGAGGTACATAACCGTCTAACTTCATAGCAATTTCTTATTGTTTTTTGTTGTTATTATTTTGATTTTTTCTTGATAACTTGTTAATTTGAGTTTCTAGTTCTTTCCTTTCTTGTTCAGGGTCTCTTTCTAGGCTCCTTAAAAGCTGCAAGAAACAAAGAGGAGCTGAAAAAATTAAATATCACACACATTCTGACCGTGGCTAATTATATTAAACCTCTATATCCAAATGAATTTTTCTATAAGGTCATAAATGGTAAGAATCTTCTGCACAAACAATCTCTTATAGTAAGTTGTTGATTTTAGTGGTAGTTTTTGTTTCAAGTTAAGATTCAAGACTGAAACTTTATTTGTGATTTGATGGTATTCTTTGAAAATTGAGGTAGTTCCAGATAGCCAAGATGCCGATATAAAGCAGTACTTTGATGAGTGTTGCAATTTTATCGATGAAGCGAAAAGATCAGGAGGAGCTGTGTTGGTTCATTGTATTGTAGGAAAATCTAGAAGGTGAATATTCCCTCTCGATCTAGGTCAATTAGCTTTCTGGATATTTCACTTATTTACATTGAGAAGTCTCATGGTTTAGTATTTACATTATTGGTTGTCTCTTTCATAGAAGAATTTCAATCATATTTGATAGTCATTTGAGGTTCAAAATATAAATGATTAGAGTCATAGGTTTTTCTTCATTTGTTTTCTCTCTTTTACATTTGGAGTTTGGGAATGGCAATCCCAAACTTAACTTTGATGCTTGTCTTTTCTTGCAGTGTGACTGTTGTTGTTGCATATCTGATGAAAAAACATGGAATGAGCTTGTCTGAAGCCCTGGAACATGTAAAGAGCAAACGGCCAATAGCATCTCCTAATTCTGGTTTCATCTCACAACTTATGGAGTTTGAAAAATATCTTCTTGGTGAGCAATCATTTTACTCTTCTATTCAACTTCAGTCTCAAATCATATTGACCAACATGATATAATCTGGTTTGTCTTTTTTTCTTTTTTGTTTTTTTTTTTTTTAAACCAAATTAAAAACATTTGCATTTTGCCCTTGGCACGTAAGAGTACTAAGGGCCCATTTGAAAGGTATACTCAAACCATGATTCTTAATTCTGACGTTTGAAATTTAAATTTTTTGTGAGAGAAAAACACTGTAGGAGAATCTATGATTTGAGTTTGAGTATATGAAACAAATGGGCCTTAAATTTGAGCATGGAGTTTTTATGTTTATTAAATTGTCTCTGTTTTTTTTTTTTTTTTTTTTTTTTTTTTAAATGAAAGTCTGCTAAAAATATTTATTCTATTCCATTTACGCCAGACATCCACTCAAAGTTTTGTTGATCTTCAACTATATGCTAAACTGCATTAAATGGCCATTATGATGATTATGTGCTCCAAGAAAGAAGCTAATTCGTTAAAAGGAAAATGAAAGGTAAAGGAATTTTAACATATATATAAAGCAAAACTACACGATGTGCATAAAAACTAGAATTTTCAAGCAAGAAACATTTTGATTTTCCTTTTGTTGGTAGAAACTTTTATGAAGTGTCAGACCACAATCTCAGCACTTCTACAGCTATTTGATATTTTAGAAGCTTTGTTATTTTTATTATTATTATTTTTATATCTTTTCCATCTTTTTGGTCTTTTTTATTATTATTATTATTATCTAACTCTGTTTTGCATTGTATCATCATCTAGCAAATAAAGAGGAAAAGACAACTTAAAGTGCATGGAAGGACACAGCAGTAAAGAAGTTTACCTGGGTAGGATTTGATTCCAGAAGGAGATGAACTTTCCTTCTTATTCTTCTTCCCTTTTTTTTTTTTTTTTGGCTTCAAAATCAACTTTCCTTCTTGGCAAAATTTAGATGAGCCCTAGATTTTGATATGATTAGATCTTATGATTTTTTTTTTTTTTTTATATATTCTTTCAACATTCAAGAAATCAATTAGAAAAGGAAGAAATTTCTAAGAACGAGTGTACAAATTCTTGAGGCACGTTGAATTGTAAAAGTGAAACTGAAGGATTCATTTGTTTAGTGTTCCAGTAGGCTACTATCGATGATACGCTAGTAGCTGGATACTTTCAATATTCATGTCAAACTACCTTGAGTAACCCAGCATGTTACCATCAAATACCAATGATGACAAAATAGACCAAACGGCATAGCCGGTGGGTTACCGCCAGTAATCTGGTATGCTATCTAGTCTTAGCCGAGAATATGATGGGTATCTTGGATTTTGTGGTGCCGCATTAAGAAGTAATTACATTGGCCTCGTCTACGCGGATTTTAATTTTTAATTCGAGTTAAGATGTAATATTTTTTTAGAGTTTTTCACTGTAACAGAAAAAGTTAGATGTGATATTTTTTTAGAGTTTTTTACTGTAGAAATTTAAAACTGAAAACTCAAATCGGTGAAATAAATTAGGCGATAAATTATCCACTATGGAGACCCCTGATTTAAAAATGTCCATTATTATATAATACTACGAAAATGTCGTCTCGTTCTTATTAAGGCATTTATTATGCCGGATTTACCCTCCTAATTTATTTTGAGCATGTTGTATATACAGTGTATTTTTATTTGCTGGAATTATTTTTCTTAATAATTATAATTTATTTTTTCTGAATATATTATTGATTTGACTTTCCTTTTTGTGTCAATTGATTTTGTGTATATACGTTAATTTTAAATCATGATTTCCTCCATGCATTTTGTTTATTCTCGTATTTTGTTCTCTGCATTTCGGTTGTACACGTGTGTTTGCTGGGAGGATTGTTGTGCAGTTGTTTGTTCCTTGTGGTTCATCGTTGCAAGAGGTAAGGTTCCATCAGTTGTTTTTTTTTTTGGGGTTTTTTTAGTTACTTGCCTTTGTTGTCTTCTTTT